GAATTTACAATGTTTATGAATAAATTTTTAGTTTGACAATTTTGAGATGAAGATGTTGATGACTAGATACCAACAAGAATGTCACACGTGCAAAAATAGACACTGTTAGTGGAAAATAGACAGAAAGGACATATAAGATATGAAATGAAGAAATAAGAGACTGAAATAATATTTTAAAAAATTAAGGGATCAAATTGAACCCCAAAATAAAATTAAAAAATTAAAAAGATATTTTACCTACAATTAAAGATCAGTATATATTTTAATTCTTTAGATAAATTAAAAAGTACTATATATTTATTTTACCCTATTTCATATAAAAGAAAAACAAAACATTATTAATTTATAAATATCATTATTTTATAAATTGTAAGATAAAATATTCTTACAATATATGTTGTTCTTTATAAGTTATTAAAACAAAATATTCTTTATATTATATTCATATACAATTTCATATATATTATTCTTTTAGACATAAAAATATAATTATATAATGTAATTCATATTTATATATGAGATTATAAATTTATTTTATAATAATATATAATAATTAAATATAATTATATTGTTTTATATATACACACACGTATGATTCAATAAAATTTTATAAAAAATCAAATCAATCAAAATTATATTGATTTAACTTTATTTCTAAATGACAATTTAACTAAATCAAATCACACATTTTTTCTTTAATAATTTAAATAATTTTTAACATCAAACCGTCAAAATAACCCCGCGAACACCTTAATTACTTGTAAGAACTAATTTGTTACCTTTTGTCAGCAAAGAAGTAGACATGCTGTATAAGATAGTTAATAGCTGTAAAAAAAAAAAAAAAGATAGTTTATAAAACGACGTCGTCATAAAGACTCCATTAAACATTATCTTGGGACTTCAGATAAACAAAAAGGCCATTGCAATGAAGAACTTGGCTTCGCTTGCAGCTTCAACCGCAACATTTCCCACCCACCAATTCCCTTTTCAAATTCAACACTCTTTCTTTCCGCTTCGATTCACTACCCGAACCACCTTCCTTCGAAATCCACATCTATCTTGCCAAACCAGACAATGTCGTTCCAACGCATTTTCCACCAAACAAGACCTTATCGCACTTCAAGAAGAAGAAGAGGAAGAAGAAGAAGATGATGATGAAGAACAAAGAGTTTCATATTCAGACGATGATACATCTTTCTTATCCCTCAGCGAGAAACCCGACCGCAATTTGGGTTTGCTAGATGATTACGAGACTGAAGAACTCGGTTATGATTGCGGTCCCAATCACCGAAGCGGTTTGTCTTCTAGTCCTTACCTATAAAATGTAAATTAGGGTTTGTTAGAGTTCCCATAATAGAATGTGAATCGGTGAATGAAAATAATATTAACCTGTTTATTTCTTAGTAATCATGATCTATTAGAACATAATAGAAAGTTAGTTGGGTGTAACTAACTTAACTAACATAACAATATCAAGTAATTCTATTCCGCCTTCCGTCTCTCGGAATGTTATGCAGGGTATGTGGCTTTACTTGGAAAACCAAATGTTGGGAAGAGTACACTCGCGAACCAAATGGTTGGCCAAAAATTGTCTATAGTTACGGATAAACCTCAAACTACAAGGCATCGGATTCTTTGTATATGTTCCGGCTCAGATTATCAGGTTTGGTGTTACGTGTTACCTCATTCTTATGTTTGATTTCGAAGATTTTAATTAGCATCTTCACATGTCAACTTATAAACTATGAAAAGGAGATTCGATATGTGATGCGGGTTTTCTTGGTTATTGTCCTTACTTGCTCGCTTAGAGATTTAGTATCTCGTATATATATTTCAGTTGAAAAATGTTGTGTATTAATATAATGGCATGGGAAATTTAAATTAATAAGTAATTCTCTTAACATCTTGGAATTCATTAGTTCAACCATTGGGTTCTACATAACCAAATCTAATAAGTGTTATAGTTCGTTAGTTTTTCTCACGAGGTATTAATGCTAAACTCGTCATTCTTAATGCATGTGCAACAGCGTTTAGTTTTTATTATCATTTCTGTGACCTATGAATCTCTTGCAGATGGTACTTTATGATACTCCTGGTGTTTTACAAGAGAAAAGGCACAAGCTAGACTCAATGATGATGCAAAATGTTCGCAGCGCTGCAGTTAATGCTGACTGTGTACTGTTTCTCGTTGATGCATCTAAAGCGCCTGAAAAAGTATGGTTTTTGGTTTACAAAGCTGTTACATTTTTTCTCCTTTTTGCTAAGTTGCTTTCTGTGTCTAGATCGATGAAGTGTTAGAACAAGGCATAGGAAACCCCAAGGATAAACCCCCCACTCTATTGATTATGAACAAGAAGGATCTTATCAAACCTGGTGAAGTTGCAAAGAAACTTGAGGTTGGAACTCATTATTAGTATTTACACATTAGAATGTATAACTTAATCAATTGGTATAGACATGATTTTTCATGTGTTTGCAGTGGTATACAAAATTTACTGATGTTGATGAGGTTATACCAGTTAGTTCCAAGTACGGTCACGGGGTTGAAGATGTCAAGAACTGGATACTATCAAAGCTTCCTAATGGACCAGCTTATTATCCAAAGGCATGTTTAAAGTCAAAATAATGTTTCCCTCATTCAAATGTCCATTGTTGCATCATCACCATATCATTTAAATTTTAGAGACCAAAACAGGAATTCATTAGACACTGAAATGACCATTTCTTTTTCTATTAAACTCCTGAAAATGAAAAGAGTAAACACATTTAATTTAGAGTGAACTTTAATCAAACCTGTCTAATTACATTGGGCTTATGGTGAATCTCAAAAAAGTGAATCAAGCTGGATATGAATGTGAATAACAGTCACTAATACACATTGATTTCTTGATTTTAAGATTATCTGCTAATTTAGCTCACTGTATAAAGATGTAATATGAAATTAAAAAAGATATTAGACAACCACTTATCAAATTTGTATACATTTCTCATTTCTTTTGGGTCATATTGTAGTTTCTGAATTTATCTATCATGGATAAACTAACTGGTGGCCCGATAGAGGAAACCTGACAGCAGGTGGCCCAACGGATTTTAAACAATGCTTTGATACCATCTTAGAATTTGGGTTGAGCCTATCTTATCCCTACAAAACCGGCTTATAAGGTTAGGATCACCCCCACTTATAAACATATGATTAGACCGTATATTGTTTGATGTGAGACTCTTTAACAAATCACTCATCAAATTTGTATCTATTTCTCATTTCTTTTGGGTCATATTGTAGTTTTTGAATTTATCTATCATGGATAAACTAACTGCTTCATCTTTTTTATCAACCTTTGAGCATTTTAATACGCCATTATTGGCAACCACCTAATGGCATAGAGATGCATTAATGTTAGTGTGGACTGTGGAGAAGGGTTTCAGTGCAAGTTACAACCAGTGTGTTGCTAGTCACACATGCATTGTGATTTGTGAATGTAATATTTCCCGTATTGTAAGAACTGGAAAAAGAAATCCTTCAAGTGACGATGTACATTCGAAATGCTATGTTTTGTAATGCTCTAATGATACAAATAGTCTGTGCAGACTGTGCACCGGTGCACTGACACGCCAATATCACACATACCTTGGCTATTGCTATTGCATGCCATTTATAACTATTAATTTTATGAGTGCCTGAATATATCTTAGCTTTTTCTTATGCATAATGTGCTATGCTCACCTTAATGTTGCTCTTGAATTCACAGGACATTATCAGTGAACATCCTGAAAGATTTTTTGTAGCTGAAATCATAAGAGAAAAGATTTTTTTGCAGTATCGAAATGAAATCCCCTATGTGTGTCAGGTAGTCATTAAGTTCATTTTCTATTTATGATTTCTTGATTTGGCCACTTCTCCACTCCCCACCCTGCGAAATGAATAAGGTTTAGAAAAGCTAGAAAGAAATTCAAGGAATAACTATTTTTCTTCTTTTTTTTTTGTCAAAAAAAGTATTTTTCTTTTCATTGATACATTTACAAATATTTTCTTATTTCCAATTCTTTCAGGTGAATGTTCTAAGCTATAAGACCCGACCAAAAGCAAAAGATTTTATACAGGTGGAGATTTTGGTTGAGAGAAACTCCCAGAAGATTATCGTTATTGGAAAAGTATGTCACTTATTTCAAAATTCAGTTGATCATTTGTGAAAAACTGCCCACATACTATTATGATTCTGTCTTTGTAGCATTAATTTTAAGCTTAATTTAATTCTTAGTTTGATATTATTTAGCTGTAACCTACATCTATGTTGTGTTCAATTACTTCAGGAAGGAAAAGCTTTAAAACTACTTGCAACAGCTGCCCGCCTTGACGTTGAAGATTTTCTGCAGAAGAAAGTTTTTCTTGAGGTGCCCATTTGCGTAATTTTTATTCTGTATCTATGCTACATTTGAACCTCGCCTCCATATTTTGCTGTTTCATATTACATTTAGATTTGAAAAATGTTCACTCAACACTAGTGTTTGAACTTTGATCAGATTCAAGTAAAGGTTAAAGAAAATTGGCGACAAGACGAAGGGTTTCTTAAGCACTCTGGTTATGGGGGTCAAATAGGTGTTGTATAACGTGCACCCGTAAGAAAATTCACGAGACATGTATCATATTATGTAAGTTAAGGATCCTTTCACAGTATGCATCATAGAAACATAGACTGGATATGATTTTGGCAGATACTAACCCCTTCCTCTCCTTGTAGGTATGTCTCGTGATCAATTTTGTAAAGCAGATCTAGTTAAAGCGCTACAAACAAGAGTGAAGATGGTATTCGAGCACTAAATTGTCTCGAGTATGGTTTGATTAAACGAGTTTATAAATCTTTTCACGTATAGTGATATTTACGGATTCTTTTGGTAGCTAGACATTTTTAAAAATTCTATTTCGAATGAATCGAAATGAAATACACTTTAGCCCATACAGCATGGTACAATACAATTCTAATGTTATATCACACTTTCATTTAATTGTCTTTATTTTTAAGCCACAGGAGAATCAAATGTAAAAGAAAACATAAGAAAATTCCTGCAGACCCCAAAACAACAATGATTCTGACCCACAAAGAGGATACAAAAGCATCTAGCATAAAAGCATTCCATAGCCAATGCCACAAGACAGAGCAAATGGATCCTATACCAGCTCCAACAACCACTTGGCTCACTGTATGAAATTTTTGTGACACCCGCAGGTATGACTGAAAACAAAGAATAAGCATAAGAGGCTTAGATTGAACGTCATGATAGGAAACTTCATATTAAAAACTTGTTCCATGGAACAACAATGAACATGTTGCCATCATGATATTTGCAATCAAGTTACTGTGTAGAGGGAGTTACTATATGCTTACAAAATAAGAACAAAAGGCCAAAGCCAGGCCACAGCTGATAATAATGGTGTCTATTCTTGACATTTTAACACCTGCAGCATCATCAAAGAACCTTAAAATTAAAACCATGCAAAAAATAGGAAAAAAAAAAAAAAATCAAAAATTGATATTTCAACTAGGCATGATTTTTATGCATGTGCATATAATATCAAAATAAACTTATTCATCGTCAGTTAAAGTTATTCATTTACATTTAAAAAACAAACCAAGAATCATTGTTCTTTGTAATTTGATCATTTGAATGACAATAAATGGTGGGAGGAATTACTTGACAAGATAATAAACATGACAGTAAAGAAGATGGATTGAGCATGTGAAGATGGCATTCCAGGGTCAGATTTCATGGTTGAAGGTCTTTTCTGATTCAATATTTGTTTCAGTAATATAGAAAACATTATATTTATAATGGACCCTGCTGCAAACCATAAAGCTTCGGCATCATGCCTCCAAATAATGAAAACACCAAAGAAGAAGATTACTATCCACTTGCTCTGAAAAAAAAGCATTATTATAAGAAAGTAATTTGATTTTTTTGTTGTAAAAATAGGTTATGCATAAACACTTATATCATAAGCTCTTATGATATAAGTACTTTAATTATGGACATGGATTACTAACCAAATGATTAAGAGTTGATTCCATTTCATGGAACAAAAACTTTGGCTGAAACTCTGATGATCTATCAACAAAAGCTGCTTCTTCAAACACTTTAACTTGTTCATCACTCATTTCATTTCTGGGAGGAGTTCCTACGAATCCATCCGTTGCACTTGCCACCCAAAGTTTGAAAGGAACAAATCCACAAGTGAATGATCTTGAAGCAGATAGACTAGAGGAAAATGAAGTATTTTCATAGTATCTTTGTTTAGGTTGATTTGTCCTCAAAAATTTGTTTGGTGGGCAGTAGCAAAGGGTGGCTGCTATTGTCATTTGAAAGGATAATTTCACCGTATTGTTTGAACTTGAAAGAATCTAATGTAGGGAAAAAGACAAGTTAGTGAGAGGTAGAAAAGAATAAAAAGATTAGTATTTGCATTGATCCTGCAGGTTTTGTTATACCAAATTCACATAGCACACCATTTACAAAATTCCAACTTTTATATATTTTTTTTTGTGTGTGCGATGGATTCCAATTTTTAGTTAAACGTAGAAACTGTGATGTGTAGGAGGCCATGACGTCTTTTGTTCTGGTTTTTGTAGCTGTCCAAAATAAAGACAAGAAAGTGATACTTCGAGATTTTTGTTAGGGAAAATGAATAATATTAAAATTAGAAGATTTCTTAATTGAAAAAAATCCTACGAACTTATGAAATTACTCTCAAATTTTAGAAATACATTTTCAGACGCAACACATATAATTCACTCATTTTAAGTTACACACCATTTTACGATTAAATTTATTCTGAAAATATATTTCCGAAATATCTTCGAAAATGTATTTCCTCCTAAATCCTAGTGAATTAGTATTAGACTGTTTGACTAATAAAACATATACAAGTTAGATACACACAATATTGAGGCAAAAAATAAGTTAGTTACAATTGTTTTCGGATTTTGAAATATTTGCCACCGAAGAAATTATCAGGTTGAGTCGCGGACTAGGTCGCTCTCTTTAAGACGTTTCACGACACTGCTCAAAATTATGCAAAGCAGTCGAACTACCGTGCCGCCTCCAGGATAAAACAACTCAGTTCTATACTGTACGATTACTATTTACATGATAGATAATCAGTCTAGAAATAAACCCTCTGATGGTACAAGACCATTCAAATATGGTATCAACACCACTCATAGTATCTGATACAAAGACCAGTCATAATAATTTCTCAAACAAAAAGAAACTCAAATAATTCTTTTTTGGTTAGAAATTAATAAAAAAACATATAAAATAATTAGTGGTCCCCAGAACTCGGTAGCGACCCATGGTTTCGCATCCGCGTCCTCGCCTGTCTCGTGGTGGGTTCCGTCACATTTCCTGTTGTGGCAGGGTCGATGGTCCAACGAAGTCAATGCGTTCAGGATCCATCAAATCAGTCAGATCACTATATCTGGAAGATCCGCTTTGGTATAATCGGTTACGCATGCCCTCAAAATTTGGTTGTCTTGGTGGTGGGTGGGGTTCCATGGTTGGTCTATAGCACTGGTTGTCTGAGTAAGGGGGTAGAAAGGAATCGAATCTTAGAGTAATTGGTATTACGACTGTTGGGTGCTATGGTGATATGGTGGTGTTGTACCCCAAAATTTGCCCTCTTTTCATACACGCATATTATTGGTTTTATGGTTATGTAATAAAGATATATTTATCAAGCTTCTTCAGGTTACAAGTGACGTTTATTTCGTTAATGGATATTCTCAGAGTATTTTCCGTGCTGAAGATTGGTTCGCCGTTTTGCAACGATTCGGAGTTCAAAGATTCACAAGTCCAACCCGACGCGTCATATTCAAGTGTTCTTTCGCCAAGATATCTCTGATAACGTATTCTCAAATTCAGGTTCGGCTCAAGAGTCAATTTTTTAAAGAAGGTATCTGAATGAGTGAGTTTTCTCGAAGAAATATGGTGAAAAAGCGTGTTGAAAGTGCAGTTTTTACGCGCTAAAAAATTCATAACTTGAAGATCGTGGCTCGTTTTAAACCCGTTCCGGTGGCAAAAATTCCGTCTTGACGTCATCTATGTTTTCATCTCTCACAGATAGAAGCCAATTTCGATCAGAAGGTCTTCAAAAATGCGGATTTATCAAGTATTTTCGTACAGAAAATTTGTGACAGAAGTTTATTTGCGTCATGTTCAGAAAATTATAACCTGATCGATTTTCATCGTATCGAGCTGGTTCCGGCGCCAAAATTTCACAAATTGAGTTGGCTATATTTTCACAGGAGGTATCAAGTTCGAACGGTATTCAAAAGGCCTTCGTTTTTTACTCAGAGTGCGTATGACGCACCAAAAATCCTGAATGCTGAATATTATTTCATCTGGGCCGAAACTTCGAAAATTCATAACTCGGTCAATTTTTATTGGATCGGGCCCATCTTTTTACACAAGGTCACTGATTCAGAGATCTACAACTTTTATTCCAAAGTTGAGACTAGATTATGCTCCGATCAATACAAGTTCTTTATTGAAGAACGTGTCAGAGTCGACACTGGAGCCCCAAAATAAGTTTGTCTGAGCTAAAACTTCAAAAATTCATAACTAATTCACCGTTTATTCGATTGAGCCTATTTTCGGACAGGAGTTAGTTCTCGATGTCGGCTACATTTTGTTTTCACATTTCAATTTCAAAAATTGCACTTAAACCCCAGCGATTTAGCCTGGAACGTGACGAACTCAAGTGAACATTTGAGGTCCAATTGCACATTCAAAGCTCATTTTTCTCTCTCTAATTTCTATTATATAATCTCATTCTTTTCACACAAACAAAAAAATAGAAAAAAAAGCTTTTGCCACAACGCTGTCAGAATATCAAATTCTTTCAAGAACCCTAAAACCTTGAAATCCTTATTACAAACCTCCATCTCACTACAAACAAGCCATCCATGTTGCAAACCCACATCTCACTACTTCTCCAGTAAGGGTAAGGCTAGCTTGATCTCCATGATCAAAATGGCATAAAAGCATTCATATCACTACTTCTCCAGTAAGGGTAAGGCTGATTTGATCTCTATGATCAAAAGGGTATAATCATTCATACATGCCATATCGGTTTTAACATTAAATTTTTTCATATGTTGGCTTTATTTGTATTTCATGATATATAGTAATTTATTTAATGTGTTCATGAGATTCAACACTGCAGATTTAGACAGGATCCCATGCAGGTTCATTACAGAACGTTGAAGCCAAAACACAAATGGTCAAAACAGAACAACCAACACATGACACCAATACACGGCGAGGCAGACATCCTGAGAAGGTTAAGGGCACGGGTTCAACAACCACCCCTATTGGTTTTGATTTTCTTCCTTTCTATTTATCCTTTTATCTATTTTTATTCTTTCTGTTTAAAACTTTTTTTTCATAAAACTTAACATTTTTCACAAACCTTTGATTTTTTTGTAATAAACTCGAATAATTAATTTTAGGTTTTAATTTAATTTTAGGTAACTTTAATTGTTTTGTAAATAAATTAAAATTAATTAGAACAATTAGGATTTTGTTTCTAATTTAATTCTATTTTCTTTCTTCTTAAAATAACAAAACACAAAAATAAGCCATTTAATTATTTTTTTAACTAATTTAATTACTAATTAATTTTATATTTAATTTTAACAAACCTAATTCTTTTCTCTTAGAAATAATTAAAAATAACAAAAAATAATTTTTCTTTCGATTAGGTTAGACGGGGTCAAAACCCTAATTCTCTCTCGTTCTTTATTCGCACGCGCTTTATTTTATTTTACCATATTAATGTAATTGCTCACAAGTTGTAATAGATTAATTAGGACTTTTTTACTTTCATTTATCATTTTTTTAAGGGTTTGTTTTTGGCTATGTAAATACCCGAAGCCTTGTAATAGCTTAGCTTATTTTCCGCACTTTAAATTCCGCAAATATTAACTGTTAGATGTATGAATAATTAGGGATGCATGACAAGAATGTATGATTAATTTTAAAACGGTTAGCTAACCCTAAATGTGTAAAGATAATAAACTTGAAATTGAATCACTCGCACATGCGCACTCCTAGGGTACACTCCCACTTCGGTTGCCTCGGAAAACAATGGTCACGTCCCTCGAACGTAGGGATACCCTTAGCAAAGACCCTCGGTTAAAATCATCATAAAGATCATGGTCCCTCGATGTCCTTCGAAGTTGCCTACGGTATATGATCTTGTCCCTCGATGTTGCCTACGAATATATGATGACAGTCCCTTCGTAATGCTAAGGTATCCTTACATGTTGCTTTCAATGACCATTACGTCCCTTTCAAATTTACCCTTACAAACTCTAACGACGGTGCTACCTACTCACTAATAGTGGGATAGAGTTGTCTAAAGGAAACGAGAATAGAAACAATTCTTTTTTCGAGTAGGTAGATAACTGTTAGGTACTTGCTCAAAACAACAAACTTTTCACGCTTATACTTTTTTTCAAACAAAGCTTTCAAAAACACTTCATAACACTCTTGAAGACAAAAGAAAGAGTTACATCGAAGTAAAAAACCTTTTTCAAAACACACAAACACAGAAGCAATTTTTTAAAAATGATGAGCAAGTACCTAAGAGCCCGTGGAAAACAATGGATAAAAAGGGTGCTAACACCTTCCATTTCTATAATCTACCCCCCGTACTCAGAAACATCTCAAAAAAGGATTTTTTCTGTATTTTTTTCCTTTCCGGTTGGATAAAATAAAAGTCGGTGACGACTCTTGCTTACCGCGACATTTTGCGAACGCAAAACGCAAACTAGTATTAACAGTCGGTTCTGCCACCGTATCACAGAACTGGCGACTCTGCTGGAGAGAAATAAGTGGGGTATACCTTAGGATTAGTTCATCATATTGTTTCTATTGTTTGATTTGATTGCTTTATTTTTGTGGGCTTTGTATCAGAGTTACTATAGATCCTAACTCGGATCTGGGGGACACCTGTTAGGTAAGTAGCAATAAACTGTGAGGGAACTGTACGGTATAAACCGATACGGTTGAAGCAGTAGCTACGTTGATGTGGCACATTGGTTGGTACCGGTATCCCTTATGGAGGAACAAGGAGAGTACGGGGCTGCTATATGGGTTGTTAAGCATCAACTGACCTTAGAACCTATAATTGACCAACTTGGCCATATGAAGTAGTGAGATAGCCGGTCTCGGTATAGAGCTGAGAACTGGTTGATACTCGATACTACACTCATTGAGACCATACTCTCGAGATAGTTCCAGCTGCAAGAAAAGATTGCGTGAGCTGAAACCATGACCGATGGAGGATGGTCAATGA